AAAATACTCAAGGTATTACCTTTACCCGGCTAACCAACTATAAGCCAGCGACATCTTCGTTTTGTTCAAGACGAGGAGGCCATCACAAAAGCGTAAATTGTATCAGTGGTTCCCACTGATGCTGAAATGAATTTTCCCCCTAAATAGATGACCACTGATACTGATTAAGCCCTTGATCCCCTTTTTGTTTCAAAGAAGCGACACTTTGAACTCTACCGAAGAGTTTTTCCAGCTTCAAAGAAAAGATTGCAAAGTCAATGGCAAAACTATCACGTGCAAAGAAACAGCCAGTACCCCCCAAAGACCTGTCAAGTTTGCAAGGCATAGTAGACGAAGTGAAGAACCGGCTTTCAAGGGCAGTGGCCGTTGTAAGTGTGTTTACCATCTATGATATGTTGTTTCTATGCCATTCCCTGCAAACCCTGGCCTGGATACCGGCCAGATGTTTTGGCATTGGTCTCAAGCCGAAACCACGAAAAAAAAAAATCTTCTCGACTGGACCAAATTAAAAATGCAGGGTTCTCTCCCGCAAGAATTTGATGTCATATCTAAGTTCCTGATCATCGATTCGGTTACTTACTGGGGAAGGATTCAACCCCCTCCATAATTCAAACATTTGTTTTTTTGAAATCGGAATACAATTTGATTTGAATTGTGGTTGTTACCTTGATTTGAATGCCACCAATGGCTTATTTCGTGTCTTTTTAGCGTTCAACATGAGAACTCATCCTAAACTCGATGTCCGAAAAGCATGGGCACGAACATTTAGCGGAAAGAAACTCTGACTCGATTTTTTGTAATATAGTCTGGATCAAGTTCTAATTCTCAGAGAGGCAGTCGTTTCGTTAGGTCACATCAGGTCCTTGAACGAGCGCTTCAAAGAAAAAAAACTGTTTAGAAATGCTACGCAGGATATTAAGAGCGCTAATTCGGATAAGTTACAGTTGAAACGACAATAAAGATCAGGTGGTCATACTGTTGGTTTGTAGAACTATAAAGGCGAGTAAACGGCAGGTGATCGAACATTGCGAATTCACTTTGGCGACCTCCACGTTGAAGCAACTGTGCAAAATCTGCTTTAGTGAAAGCTAATAATTGAATTGTGTTCTGCTAAAAGAACAATTTCAGTCGATTACTAGCCGTTCTGTGCGTCCGCAAGAGCTATTTTAAATTTCATAAAAGTTTTATTGCCTTGTGTTAAGTTCATCAGGGGGAATGAAAATATCGCTTTCATTAATAATACCAAGAACGGTTTTGTATCTCGCTCGGGTTATAATTATTACAACACTGTGATGCAAAAGCAGTACAGATACTACACTGATACTTTGTTATTGATAAGAAAGAAAGTGGCTCTGTCAAGCCCATTTCTTCCATAAAACTCGTCCCCATATATTTTCCATAGTCCACTGAATCGTACAAACGTCCCCACTTTGGTAACATTCATCCGCAACCGCTGATTTAAACAGGCCAAAGCAATTCCTGATGCCCGATTTCTACTGGCATTATTAAACACCCCCACCACCCCTCTTGTCCCAATCCTCCGTAGGATTTTGAAATCCTATGTTAATCCTCTTCAGGCCAGACTTCCTTGGCTCACTGAGACAGGGGAAGCAAGATTCACCCTCTCCCTCATACTTCTGTATGTTTCTTTATGTCAGTAATAGTGAAAGAACATTGGCGGCATCAATATTGTACGCATGTGTGTTTGAGAGGACTCATGAGTAGGTCACTAACGAGTTTGACATACTTTACTGGAACAGTCTGATCGAATTTGACTTGGTTCTTTCTTCACTTCTCCACCGGATACCTTAAGGATGTCCGTTAGGATCAGGAATGGTGTTTACCAAATTCACTACTTCTACTGACCGTGTCTGATACGGCACCTAAAGTTCTCTGTGCTTTCGAGATGAAACGACGATTCAACTTATCTGGGTCGGCTCGAATGGGTCTGGGGCTAGGATATAGGCAGGTGGAGTCGGGTGACTTTAATTTTCCTTGGTGGTGCATGCCGATCTCAATGATGAGAGAATTTAATATGACCACCATATCGTCGAGTGATTCTACACCATAAATTGTATCCAGAGGTAAAGTGGAGAAGTCTTGTTTTTGAACGCAGATTCAGTGGATTATCTCTCATTACGGATGTACTTGTTACAGGGTGCGTATGCCATGACAAGAACATTGACCATTGCATAAACGACGTCATGATCATTTATAGAAGGGGAGGGCAGCACATCAGAATGAACAACCCTCGATGCCTCATTGGAGATAATACGGTCGTATTTAGAGGTAGGGATAACATGAGTTGGTTTCGTAATCATAATGCTGCGTCAAGTTCAGTGCCTGTAAGATATCTCTGTACTGCATGACAGCGCGGCATTTGGATGTCAGATCCAACAGGGCCCAGTTGTTCAAAGGCCGATTAGCGCTAACCTGGGGTTAAATTTTAATTTGAGTTTCCTTTACTTTTGTTCAAAAGCATTTTCTCGGACGAATTTGCTTTTTTTTTAGATCTTCGAATCATCAAATTGTAGCCAAAGCGAATTAAGCTTAATATGCTTTTTAAACCTTTAAATTTGAATTAAAATTTCACAATAACAGGCTGGGTTGTCTTAACCTAACTTTGAACAACCCAGCCCAGGTTAATATTCATTCCCCCAGTCACTGATTAAATTCCAGCCCAAGATGATGTCATTGTTGATAGAGGATCATCAAATTTATCCAGCCATACTTTTGTGTCGAGGATACGTTCTAAGTGATACATTGTACCAATCAGGAGTTTGCTATTCCTCTTCTTACCAGAAAACTTGTTATAAGCCATAAGCGCTCAAAAAAAGGCTCTAAATCTTCAATATCAAACCTTTTCTCAAAACTAACACTTTACTTAATATATGCACCGACCCTCCTCCTTCAGCGTTAATTCCCAGTGTGACGTAATTTTTACCTGCGTACGTGCGTAAAATGTACGTTCGCCAATAAAATGGAGGCAATGCATCAAAGGTCGCTCGTAAGCGTAAAAGTTGAACCTCGCTCAACTTCTCGTCTAAGCTCAGCACTTTTTATCCTGCCTCTATTTTATTCACGTGATTAAAATTTATGTTCGTTAACGTGCGTAGCCAAAAACGGGTCAGTAGAAATCACACTGCACACATTTCGATTGCGATACGTGGCAACAAACCCAAGTATAGAAGCATGATTAAGGAGCAGCTGATTTGGCCTTTGAGCTTCAGATAACGTAACAATGTCAGACGGGTTTGCAGTAATCTGGGCTGACATCTGATCAAAAGTTGAGGTCATACATTGAGTTTTGAAATGCATCATCGATATACAAGATAGAGATTCTCGCCTTCAAGACTTCACCGGCGCACATGAGACAGGTGCTGTAGATGGTACATCCGCCCAGATTTTCAGTAGATTTATCCAGCGAGTTCAGGTTTTTGACCTTAAAAAAGGGTAAAAAGCGTGCAGCTGTTTGACATATCCAAGAGCTTGGTTTGCCAGCCTTGATGTTTTTAAGGGCCAAATAGTCAAAATTAGCATATCGAACATGTTACAACATAACGAATTGCTACAAAATTGTTCTAACATTGCAACGCCTTGTTGTCCTAAAAATCGTCGTTGCGAATCGTCCCGTGTAACATCACCTTAAGCGGCGAAGGTAACGAGAACGGTGAAAAAACAATAAAGGGTACAATTAAAATTTAATTTGTCAGTTAACCTCCTTTCATAATGGGTCCCTGTCCGATGTCCCAGTCACAATTTGCGATGGGGAGTTCTTCTAGTGTCTTGCTTTGGTCCTTTCCTTGAATTCACCTTTCATTAACATATGTACTTTTTCGTCATAGTGGAGGCGTGTGTGGCCTCTGGAGGTCCGGGGTTCAAGCCTCGCCCGTTGAGTTGTTTCCTTAGACAAGGATCTTTACTCCACTTTGTCTCTCTTCACCTACGTGTATAAATGGGTACCGGCGACATATATACTGCCGGGGGGTAACCCTGCGATGGACTAGTATCCCGTCCAGGGGGGAATAGCAATACTCCAGGCTTGGTTCATACTACCGAAACCGGAAATAAGCTCCGGCCGTGTGGGCCTTTGACTCGTGTGTGTCTTTTCCTTTAATAATCTACCTTTTTTACGTGTTCAGTTCCCTCGCAGCTGAAAAACTACGCGGATTCCACCTTTGCCCAAAATCGCGCACCCTAAAAGTGAAGCAGATTATCGTCTGCTGTCTCTTATTTGAGAACACTTACATGCTAGACTTTCATCTGCCACTGATAGAACGTCTGGAAGTGAAAATGAGCTTCCTATTCTTGCCAAAAAAAGGTATTGAATGGCGTTTTCTTTCTAAAATAGAATATGAATTGCTCTTTATCGAAAGGGTGCTCAAGTGCAAGGATACTAAAAACCCAGAATAACTTGTGCTACCCGGATTCCTCCCACGTAAGTTTATCTGACCTAATTTGAGAACTTAGCGGTTAATGCCAGCCTTTGTTTGTCGATGATATACACTGTAGTTAGTGCAAGCTTACACTGACTTTCAACCAAAACAATTGTAAACTGAGATATATTCAACTCGTTTCCAAGTTTCCTCAAAAATTATCCCCGTTTTCAGCTTTTTTGTTTTATATTACAACAGCTGTTGTAGCATATTTCCTGCATTTATATTACAAAGATTGTTTCGCCACTTTCAGCTAATTTTTGTCAGTAAAGCTATGTCGAGTTGCATCATTTTTAAAGACTATTGGCCTCTAAACTATTTTGACTGAAATAAGATTGCTGCCAAAACAAAATAGTAAACAAATAAAAATTAATCAGAGAAAAGCAGTTCCATGTACAGAAGGATTTCGTGGAAATACCAGTTTCTTTATCCTAGGAGTTTGTATTTTAACGATAGCGATCAACCAGCCAGCTGGCATGTCACCATGGTTTCCTATCGAGCTAATTATGTTAAAATCTTTTCGTGAGTACCTGCTCGAAAGTCTTTAATTATTGATTTAATTCAAAGTGGGCACAGAAAGAGCGAAAACAGAACCAGCGAAATATTGATGAGAGCTGGTTTGACTAAACCTGTGGTGTAGTTAAAGACGTTCGGTAGTCGACATGATGGAAAGGCATGGGTAATGCTGGAAGCTCGGACAAAACAATGTTTCAAGGTACGGTTTTGTCGCATACACATATCGAAATTATTCGTCGTTTAAAATTTTTCACATTAAGGGTAAAATTTTTATTGAGGCCTCGAGTTGCTTGTAGTTATGTCATAGTTACCACTGTGAAGTTCAGTTCCCGTCTCTTCTTGCATCAGTAAAGAGCATTTAAAGTTAAAATCTCCGAAGTATAGCACTTTTCATAGCTAGAAAAGGGATTAATTGTTATCGACTCGATTCGATCTAGCTAGCTTTCTCATGAAATATTTGGTGACAGTTAATTATCGAGTATTAAAAATTACCAGAAATAGTACGTTAGATGAACTTTTTTCCTTAGCAAACCAATTTTTGTCAATCGTAGTTAGCAGTCTTGAGCCAGGTTTTCCAGTATATCATCCATGAAGATCTTACAGAAAACGATTCTGATTTGGTGAAGGATGCTTCGAATTTATTTTGCAAATGCAAGCGTGTTATCTGACAATGATTTCACCCGCGCAAACAATATTTAGAAGTTCAAACTATGACACTTCACTTTCTTGCAAATACAAATCTTGTTGTAAGCTGGGTGAATTCATATTATAGGGATTATAAGTAATTAATTAGAGTCATTTAAAATTAGTCTATAGTTTTCAATGAATTCTTAAATTGTGCACTATCATATTCGCTCTAAAAAATAATATAAGACTGTTTGTTTGATCGTTTTCCCTAAAACGCATAATAATCTTTTTGTAAAATTCTAAGCGAATATATAATATTCGCAAACCGTTTTAACCCACCTAACTCTTATTTATTTTAGTTAGATGAAGGCGTTTGTTTTGGCAATTGGATCGAAACATCTCTATTTTTTCGTTAAAACAATAAATGCTTCTGCCTTTAAAACAAGGTGGAATTACCACCTGTTTTTTCTTTACTGTAAATGTTGTAATTTCAGTATATCTGTATGTAGAGGCAAAAACAAAAACACATCACTTTGTATTTTGCCTATTACAAAAAACTGTCACCAGTTTGATTGCCGGCAACAATCTACCATGCGACCGTTTTGTCTTGTTATGCGGCTGCGTGTGGGACTGGTGATGAAGGTCATTGATAACAGCCTCGCTTCCAACGGCGTTACGTAGAAGAGCGCGATCAAATGGTCGACTCTGATAGTCTAGGTGCAGTGAAAGCGATATTCACACGATATTCGCTACTGATTCGCGGGTTTTGAAGGTGACGAACGACTGGGATGGGTAGAGAAAAAGACTATTGGGGCGGACACTTTTTGATTGACATAACCAAAGCAAATTTCTAATGGGGCTCGTTTGTCTTGACGCCAAATACCTTTTCCACTAAAGCTTTCAAATCAGGTTCCAAGCGCCCTAGAGAAACTGCGGCCCACTGTGATTCTCTTTTTACTATGAAAGCCAAGGAAGAAGTGCAGATTTCACTGATTTCTGCCCATTGACTTCTGACTTCTGACCCTTGATTACAAACTTGAGACTTCCAGCTTTGAAATAATAACTTCAGACTTGACACTCAGTTTTCAGACTTCCGACTCATGACTAATAACGTTAGACTGCAGGCTTTAGTTTCATATTTCAGAATTGAGACTTCGGACTCTGTCTGATGTCCGAAGTCTGAGTAGTAACACAGGGACTGAACTTAAGGAAATCGTAACAGCGCGACTCCGTTCGAAACGAACACGATCTCTATAATAGGAAAGTTAACCCTTTCTTCATTTTTGTCTTCGAAAAACAACAACAACAACCACAAACATTTTTCTGAGCAGGTTTGGTGTACAACCTCGGAGACCCAGGGTCAGAGTTTGAAAACTTTTATCGGGAAGTTTTTCACGATTTTGCTGGCTGCCCCTGCCCAGTGTATGTTGCGTCAAGAAGCCGTCAGATAAATTGTTTGCTAGTAAAGCTCTCAAGGATTCCTTATAACTAAAAAAAGTTTAGGTTTTGCTTGCGCAAATTCCTCTGAGAGCTGGAAAATTAATTCTAATGAACCTTAAACTTTGTCCACGAATTCTCACCACAATAATTATCATATTTGTTTTATTTCTCTGTAGTAGCAAAGCATTCAACTTTATCACCGCACTGCGGAGAGGATAGGCACATGTTACCAGGAAGAAGCCCTTCACCGAGCAGGAGAAATCAGGAATCTCACCAGCATCATTCCAAGTTCGCGCAAATAAAAGAGGTCGTCAACGGTAAGGGAACAGCCTTTAAAATTAGAAAAAAAAAAATGACTTTGACATTCCTCGGCTCCTCCTGCAAATCGCAATTATCCGTGACGATGAGTAATTTTAATGTTAACGATCTTATATCACCCCGCCTATACACGTCTAAACCCCGGCCTAACAAGTGAAAAACAATTTTCGTGGTTTAAAAGTCCTTACTCTCTTGATTAATACTGAAAATTATACACTATACCACGGTAGCGTTTAAAAAGGAGTTAAACTGGTTTTTGGAGTGAAAATTAAACTGGGCGCCATTTTGACCGGAAGTAAATAACACCTAACCAAAAGTACACAAAATTAAGCTTTTGTTCAAGCCAAAATGACGATGAAATTGTTTATTATATAAACTAATCGTGGCTATTAATATGTGATATGGTGCCATCGCAAGTTTTTCCTGTTCAACCGGTTTTTAGAGTTATTACTAAAATGGCCGCCATTTTGACCGGAAGTAAATATCACCTAACCGAAAGTACACAAAATTTAGCATGTTGACGTCAAAATGACGACAAAATTGTTTGTTCTATGTTTTTTCGGTTATTTATGTCGTATAAAAAAAGTCAACCGTGTTACAAATTAGCGGTTTAAATGAGAGAACCTGAGGTAAAAGCGGGATAAATAGGGGATATTACATGGCCGCACGGGGATACGAATTTTATCTTCGAGTGAGAGATACTTTCAGCACGAGAAGATAAAATTCGTATCCCCAAGCGGCCATGTAAGTTTCGGTTTATTTTATAGATACTGATAAAATTCCAACATAAAACACAAGTTTTTTTAATATTCATTTTCGAAACAGTAAAATAGTGCAATTAAAGTGGTCACCTATGGCAAAATGCCTGTCACAAAAATGTTATGAAACTCGGATATAAAGTTGTAAAGGAGAAACAAAGACAATAATACGTATATTTTCTGTTCCAAAAAGTCAAAATTTTAATGAAGAAGAGAAAAAATACGTTGGTAACCATGGCGACACCAATATCCGCACACGTGAAAGATAAAAATAGTATCTTCACTGCGCGCGATGAAGATATGATTCTTTAGTAAAAGGAAAAATACTGGTATTTCATCAGTATCTATATAATAAAATGGAAATGCAGCTCATTCAAAGCAATTCATTTCAGTAGTGAATTTAAAAAAGGTGTGAAACAATAATTCACATTTTTAAGCATAGGAAAGGCCAAACATATGAACAGATTTAACTACCAAAAAACAGATTATTTCTTTTTACTTGTTTTAACCCTTTAAGTCCCAATAGTGACCAACATCAATCTTCTCCTGACTCACAATATCCATACAAGGTCAAGAGATTAGGTTTTTAGAATTAATAAAATTGTCACCTAAGAGAAAATCCTTTAATCTTTATCAAATTCTCTAAACTTATCCTTTTAAGGAAATGTATAGAGACCAGTTTGAAGAATTTGTAAGGGTTAAAAGAGTTGATCCACTATTAACTAGAATGCAGAATGCTTTGCGGCTTTCAAAGTAATTTGAGGTATACTAGCTCCATCATTTTGTGTTATGGAGGAGTATAAATAACACTCTGTGCATGTACATATTGGATTGAGATTGCTTTCACGATAACGCCTGCTCATTTCAAAGTTTACCATTTTCAAAAAGCTTCCGGGAAATCCGTTTGGAAGGTAAATGGGTCCCCTACTCAGCCTACTCTTTACAAAAAGCAGAAACAGTGTCTGGGTTCTTTAACTTCCCACAGCATTTTATATGAACAAGGACCGTGAGATGGGGCCTACAGCTTTTTTTTTATTCCAAGAAGACTAGAAAGTCTAACCGTTTGCAGATGACATTAAAAAGGCAGCACTTCTTGTCAGTTATTTAAAGATCCTGAGTGACAGTTGGTCCGGCCGGGGTTTGGAACCGCGGCTTCCCGCTCAGTAGACCGGTGTTTATCCACCTGGAGCTAACCGGGCGGCGGCTTAATTCAGCTGTATTTCACTATCAAGTGAATCTGTGCCTCTCTTGACATAAGTGAGAGTCTTCAATGTAACCACCCCCAGAATGTCATTTAATTATCATGCACTGAGCAGCACTGATTATCATGCTAAAGTCCACGTGCAAGAAAATAAGGAAAAAGCGTTTTCCGAATGTGCATCACTTACGTTAATCCCCTGAGCATGTAAAACGTATTCTCTTGGACATAGTGTGTGGCAAATATGTGGCGCCGAGAACAGCTTGAAAATAAGATCTGGGCGGGTAAACGTCTATCAGGAGCTATACTAAGAAAGTTAAAGAAACTGGAAAAAGCTAGTTCTTTTGTAAAGATCGAAACAAGCAGGTGCTTTTTGGATTCCTTGCACATTGAGCAACGCATGTCGTCTAGGGCTAGATGTCCAGTCTTTTCAGATGCTATATCACAAAGCAGATTCCCTTCTTTTAAGTCTCCATGTTGTTTGTGTCCAAGACATTTTCCATGAAGCTCCTCTACCATGAAGCCAAGTTAGCTTCCCTATCATATATCTTGGTGCTAATGTACATATACGCTACCTTCCAGCCTACGAGATTGCTAACGCATTTACTAAAAAGGCTGCCTTGCACTTCCTCCGTTCCATGCATTCACAAGATGTGACAAGAAAAGATTATTTTCTCTAATCGGAGTTGTTTTCCCTTACACGTTCTTCTATACGATAGAAAAAGTAGTTCTTTACAGTCAACTGACGAAGCCAAAAGTAGTTTCTTTGACCCGGCCTGCATTACTCAAACATTTCAAGGGCACGGCGAACCATGCTGGCCACATATGGAGTCAGCAGGCACTGGTATCAAGCATCTCGGTTCCTAGTGTGCAAGATTGGGGCTGGATGTCTCTAAGAGGAGAGTGGCGACTCTCTTGCACACCACTGTCAGAAATTACAAAGTTGAGGGTGGAACTAGTCAAGTACGCTAGTAAGAAGGGCTAGGCCCAGAAGAGTGACAATCGTGGAAGGCAATCCCAAACTCTTTTTTCGATTACAAGCACTCGTCTGCATGAAGTATCAAGTCATTAGGTCACCGAGATATCACCAGTTCTTCTTCGATATTCTTTATCATGGCCAAAGTAGGCTCAAGTTTAGTGATGGATTATACATGATGAGGATAGTAAATTGAGTGTATACATTAGATTTAAAGAAAATATTAAAGTAAAGAAAACTAGCATTTAAGCTCATTCCTTAAAAGTTCCGACTCTAGTAGTTTTACTTCCGGTCTAGCTGGCGGCCTGCACTTATATCATCGTTATTCTATTTTTTAGACGATTTGCGTTGAAATAATATCTCTTCGTATGAAAAAACAGCTGCCTTAGGCATTTTCTGACATTTTCTTATCCAAGTTGCTAAAATTCAGACGTTTTAAAGGAAATGTTAATTTCACTTCCGGTTTAAAATGGCCGCCATATTAAAACTCTTATTTTTTGCACTTAACGGCCTTTTTGGCGATGGCACCATATCCTATCTTTTTTAGGGCCTTGAAAACTATCATCATGCCAAATTTCATGCTTTTAACAGAAAGTGAACAATTGAAGCACATATCTGCTCTACTATTAGGAGATACTGACTAGAGTTTACAGATGGTGTGCTGGCATGGGCAGTAAACAATCATGTGAGAAACGATGAACTGAAATACACATTTTGTTAATTATTGGGTCAATCAACAGTGTGGGATAAGGGACTACTAGGGTGTCCTATACAATCAAGGGTTCTTTGTAATTTGGGTCCTTAGAGGCCAGTTTACATAGTCGTACGAAAATAATTTGAAGCTGTTAGCGCGCGTCATAATGTGCGAAACTCAGCGCATACGCAATAAGGGTGTTACCATTTAAATTTATGTTTAGATGATTCTGCTGCTAAAAATCATCCAGCCAACTATTTTCAAGATTGTAAGAGAACGCCTAAATAGCGTCAGGACACCCAAGTAACCAAAGGGCACAAAAAGATCAGTGTGCTGCTCTCTTGGGGGCTCGCAGCAAAGGTGATGATGATGATGATGATGATGATGATAGAGAACACAACACAAACCTTTATCTCGCCCCATGTAAGGGAATCCAGGACAGTCTTGGATTCTGGATTCCATGCTGTGGATTCCGGATTCCGGGTCAGGATTCCGGATTCCAGCACAGTGGATTCCGGATTCCAAAAAGAGCTGGATTCCATTTTTTTTCCGGTTTTAATGCTTTTCTTCGCACTTCGTTTTCGTGTTCGAATCTTGCTATATTGAAAGACGTTGTTAGAAGGCATAACAAGTTTGTTTTCTTTTTCGGTTTACAAAATTGCGGGAAGAAATGTATTACAGTTCCGTAAGGGTTTATGGTATACGGAGGGGGACATTGGGGGGCCGTCTACACCGCAACACCGCAGAAAAAAATAACAAACACCACATCGCCGCAAAAAAACGTAGCGAAACACCGACATCGCAATTTAAAGTTTTGTCCTACGATTAATCTAATCCAAATCTCCTTGTAAATGGGGATGGAGGATCTCTCAGCTGGTTAGTGATTAGTAGAGAGTGAGACTGACCTCAGGACTCTATTCTTCACTTAGTCTACTTTTGTGAACGCTATTTTCAGCCATGCTGATAGAAAAATGCATGCAACGCCCAGATTTCGCCTGTTATCCTTTTGTTTTAAAGTCTTTTTGTATTAAAAGACCATACAGATCATCCTTCACTCCGGATATGAAAAAGCAGTGAAATATTTATTATTTAATCAATTTTAACCGACGTTCCTAGGAGGGTGGAACTTGTTTTGGGTCGTTGTGGATCTTTTGTCTATTAGTTTTGATCGTTGTTGATCATTTATGTCGTTTTGGCTCTTTTTGCCTAGTTTCTCGTTTTATTAGTAACTGGCCAAATAAACATACGCTGTGGCGTGTGCAATTCATTCTTTGCAAAGTCTTTGGTTCTGTTCACTAAGGAATAGTTTTCCGTCTCAATAAAACTTGAAAAACTATTTTTATCTTTTAAGACTTTTTAAAACTCTCTCCCCGTGTCAATGAAGACTTTTGAAGAGGGTAAAAAAATTCTCGCGTAGAAGCTGACGCGTACTGCTTTGAGGTCTTAGCGAGCACAATGATAATGAAATTCAAACTAACTGTCACGTTGAATTTGATGTTAAAAAGAACAAAAACAACAAAAAATTAGTTGGTTCATACTTAAGATGTGCGTATAACCACGTTTTGTTAGAAAAAACTTCACGGCTCTATCAAATTCGTTATTTAACACGTCGAAAATTGAGGATTTATTTCAAGCATGCGCTCTTTCATCGCCCGTCACATTCCTGACAGGCAGTAATCGGATTTGACCAGATCTTCGGCTTCGTCAGTAAGAGATCTGGGTCTCTGAGATGGTCTGGGGTCTCTAGGATCCATTTCAAACAGAAAAAAAGTAACGGGCTAAACTGATCTCAGATCAGTCTAATTTCCAAAAGCGACCTCAATGTGAACGAGGCCTATTCAGGGGCACAACTGGAGAAAGAAAACATGAAAAATCCGTCTGTTCCTCGACCGAGCCTGAGATGATTGAGAGATCAAGAGAGACTTGAGCGTTTCTGACGCGTTGGCTCGTTTTTAGCGTTTTACGACCATATAGCGCTCATTTATACGATATTTTCTCCACGGACGACGTAAACTTCATATCACATTCAATTATGATTGCGAAAAAATCAATCTTTCGTTCATGTTTGTGACTTGCTTACCGCCACTTTACAATCCACAGATCGACACAAACGAAAAATCATACAGCTTTGCCTTTGGCACGTTTAGATCTATCAGTCACCTAAAAATTGGTATAAAATTTCACAACACAGAATTACACGTACCTTTTTCTCTCAGCCTTTTATTTTGCTTGTGCTTTCCCATAACCTTTTTTTTTAATGACGTAGAAAAGAAAAATCCAACAGACAACAAACTTCAAACTCGTCTCATCGATGAGGTGGCGAGATTTCACGCGTCCTTGCACGTGATTACTTTAGTGACAGCTGATTGGTACGGTTCTGACAGTACCTAGCTTATTTCTGAAATATAGATTATCGAAACCATGAAACTGTTCTCACCGAAACTGCTAGGACCAAATTAGGGACTAGGAGACTGTGAATTTTTTTCTCTTTTGGTAAAATGTTGAAAGTTGACGTTTATTTTCAATTGTGAACCAGCAGGACCAGGAACGTTCAAGAAAAGTTTCACCCCATGTGCACCTTTTCCGGTCCTATGCCAGGTCAACTCGTTTTTGATTTTTAAGTTCATCGAAGAGAGTGAACAACAAAGAATCAAACAGAGGTTGAAGCTATTCAGAACAATCCAATTTATACCTTAAAAAGGCTGCGCTGTATTCCCTCGAAAACCCCCGAATTTTGTGATCCTGCCAGCCGCTCATAAGCAAGGGTTCCCTCGCTGACCGTGAGCTTGACCTTTCATATGGAGCTCGTTAAGTATGGTTTTGACACCAGATATGCCGATATTACACTGTATGTCATCACGTTGAGGCATATACCCTGGGGAGGCTTTCCATAGATAGTTTTTCTTTCGAGCGAGTAGCTCAATCCAATCTGGAGTGAATCTTTAGTAAGTTGGATTCTGGATTCCAATCTTTAGAAGGATTCCGGATTCCTAATGCTGGATTCCGGATTCCAAAGCCCAGGATTCCGGATTCCACGAGCCAAAAATTCCTGGATTCCGGAATCCGGATTCCCTTACATGGGGCGATTTATCGCATAGTGTTTAGAATAAGCTTTACTAGTAATAAAATACTAAACTATGAATCAGCAGGAATCAGTGAGAAAAAATGAACAAGCCTGATAGAAAATGAGAAGATCAAGTATGATTCTTTTTATAATCTATATAAAAAAAACCCCCAAGAAATCTATAGAATATGTCCTTGAATGACTTACTAAGGCTGCCTCTAATTAAATGAAAGTAGCCTGCGAAGCAGGTTGTAGCCTGTTCCAGGCTCCGAGATGGTGGTGGAAAGTCGTTCAGTAATAAGAAATGAGAAAAACGCGCAAGGGCTGGGGAGAGACAGGGCGGCGGAGCCTGTACGCATTTTTTTAACGGCCTGTTCCGGTATATCAGCTCCTGATATACCCTCTGATTGGTCAATTGTGACAGTTAACATCATCACCTAGTAGCGTGGTCATTAGTTTGTCATCACCAAGATGGCTAACGCGAATCGCGCGTGTGATCTTCATGAATCGGCGTTGTCTTGTGCTTTAGACGAGTGTCTGCGACTTGGCTCGCGGTAAAGATGTTTTCGGTATTATGCCCACCGGTTTCGGCGAAAGTTTAATCTTTCAGCTATTCCCACGCTTGGCTAAAGCTGCTCTAATCCTAGAAAACTCTGCGATAATAGTCGTTTCGCCGCTGATATCTATAATGCGAGACCAAGTGGAACAACTGAAAAAGCTTGGATGTCCGGCCGCAACTATTTGGCATCGGTGAAGAGGGAAAGGAGGACGCGAAGAAAGCGAGAGAAGGAAAGTGCGAAATTGTTTTCGGTAATCCGGAGTCCTGGTTGATCACAAAGTGGCAATAACAAAACAGTCCAAAGACTGTTAAGCTTTATATTCCGCTATTACCAAGGGAGAAACTACGCGCTCCAGTCAAAAGACTCACACTATTTTCAGAGAAACACTATCAAGCTGGAGTTTACTAAGTCACAATGCAATTCTCCTTAGTTGATGTAGCTTAAGTTTAAGCTGCACTTCATTCTTATAATTCTGGATCTGTAAATCACTATCCGTGATAATTTAACATTCTGCAAAGAAAACTAACGAGCTGGGCCCAGCGTGATACAACATTGCAGAAAAATATTACATTAATTCACGGACTAAAGAAAATCACTTAGTTAGTCAGATCCAGAAGGCACTTTGGAGAAAATTAAAACCCTTATTCAGCCGCAATTAAAAACTTTACGCTTCTAATTAGAGGTCAAAGAAAATGCTCTCTCATCAGAGGGCAAATCCTGCCGACCAGAAACCAACGCCGTAGTAAATCGATTTTTGTGCCATGACCTCTCATTGTGAAACAAGCGGCTAAAGTCACATTTGCTCAGTGACAATGTAGAACCTTCCAGAGCATAACCTCAATACCCATCAGAGGAAAAAACTTACCGCCCCCTTTTATTGCTATAAACTAGGGCCAAAAAAACGGATGCTCTCACAGGATAACGAATTCGAAGACATAAATTTCCACACATCGCACAAGGAATTCGCGTCGCGTGCAATGCTCACGCGAGAAACTTGAGAATGATTGTAGCTAACTGAAGTGTTAACAGTTTTGACAGCCGAATCCGGACGTGACAAAAATGGGCGGAAGAGGGTCGTTAAAGAAATGCTAACAGGCTCTCTCTCCCATTTTTCCCGCCGCCACCGCCCCCTTTCCCAAGTCGTGCTAGTCTTATTTTCGCTTTGCTCGTTTTAATACGTTCCCACTGTACTATCTGAGAGCCTGGCACAGGCTAAGCAGGTTGCGACAAGTCATCCAGCGGTCTCTACAAAACAAAGCAGTGTCATGCGCAATGTGTTACCCTCTTAAAATAATTTCATTATTTTAGCAGAAAAGGTTTCTTTGATGTGTTTTGGTTCCTATTTTGCCTTGAAAGCAAGTGCCGATGTCTTGAGAAATGGGTCAAGATTTAGGAAAAACAAGCAGGCTTCTAAGTAAGAGATGTTTATTAAAACCTGGAGATTTTTTTGTTGACATAACTGAGTTGCCTTCCTTGTCTATTATGTCCTTTTAGGCATTCGACGCAAAGGTGGTAAGAGAGGACTCGAATCAAAAAGCGATCATACATCTTCTTCTCATGGTAAGTTGGGTTTCCTTTTTCTTCTCGAAAGTAGTCGATTGAGGAGAGAGAGAGAGAGAGAGATTGTCATACGTTCCGGCGAAAGGATTGGCGTATCTCCAAACAATAATTTACATCTACTTTAGCCTGCTTTAGCTAATTTCTAACTTTCAACATGATAAGCTTATGCCTCCGAATTTTTAAGCTTAGTAGAAAAGAACCAATTTTGTAGGCTATTTTTTTTTTTGGCGCAATTTCTACCTGTGAGAGCGCACGATTGCATTTAGGTTTTTTTAGAGCCTTGAGTAACACAAAAAGTGATGCCAAGTTTGCTCTGTAAACATGTCTCTATGTGTTAATTTGATTCGTCATGCCAGATGCCCTATCTATTTGTACGTATGAAGACCAATTGCGAAATTATCAAACAAAAGATCAACACTATTTATATATGAATTGTTAAACCCATATTTCCCTGCAAGCAGAGTTTCGCAAGGATACTATGTTAGCACCAAAGATCCTTTATCAAAATTTACTCTAGTGTTGGTATTTGCTTGTAAGGGTTAATTTTTGGAGCGAATGTTTTCATCCTTATTTAAAGCTCTTTAGCAGTTTTCAAGAGTTTAAAATGTCATGTTTCTGAGGAACATCAGACTGATATACAGTATGAAAAAATGACTGTATATATATTTTTAGTTCTCTTGGGAATACATGAAAACTGGTGTGCATGTATTCATAATTTATAGCTTCAATACCTGCTTAAATAAGATGTATAAATTAAATCACGCAAAATGTGTCCCCTATAAACAAGTCATTTTGTTTCCAGAAAATATACAGATCTATCATGGAAGTAGTATTAGTCTTTGTCATTCAGGTGTTATTGTACAGCAAAAGACTTGTGTGCTTGCTCACTGGCAACAACAGTCGGCATATCAGATTGTAATGCCATGCTCACATATCAGTTTTGTGGCTAAAATACTCTACAATCTCATGATTTTGAACCTGAGTGGTGTAAATTGAGTCTACAAGTCACTATTGCTACAATTTCATTTAATCTCGTTTTAGAGAAAAAAAGAAAAGAACACAACATGTGCATTTTGTAATAATTCTATACCTTAACATCAATTCTTGCAAAACCTCTGAAAATCTTGGTGGTGGATTATTTCTTTTGTTCTAACTACATATTAATTAATATATTTTTTTCCTTTAATAGCCAGAGAAATGTATGTACATGTTTTCTGGGAAAATGTAAAGAGCCATATGCAATTTCCACTTTAGAATACGTTATCATGTTTGATTTTTTTAGAGTGATGAACCTCACCTTTGTAAATTAACTTTCATGAAAGAACATTAGAATTAGAAGGCAGATTGCCTTATAAAATTACAGACAAAAGCAAATCTAAGGGGAAAAAAAAGTAACGTACTTCATTTACCACTATGTAACTTTTAATTTAGTTACTAAATTTACTTCTATTCTAATTTAGAAACCATTTTTCCTGTGGGAAATCAAACTAATCATTTACTGTTTTATTTTTCAAATGCAAAGACCAATGGTGGATCATTTATTTGCAGTATATGTGTACAGCCGTCACATTTCCCCTGGGAAATTGTTATTGTGTTTAAGTTCAAAAGCTCAATAGCAAATGTGATGGTTATGCATATACTTGTGTATGTGTCAAATGAATCCAACCAAAATATTCATTCAAAAACATTTTGATTTTATTTATTTTTATTTTATTATTTCATTTATGTAAATGTAAAGTTGTATAAATTTTTTATTAGCTATACCTGCTGGTCGGCACTGATTTTCACTTTTGCTGTAACATGTATTTCTTTTTATAAGCTGTTGTTTTTGTACAGTGTACATGTTCCTATGATGTTTGGCCAACACGCATTTTAGTTGCTGTTTTTGCAAAAAAATGATTCCCTAGCCTAAAATGTACTTCACTCTTTGTCAACAGTGGAGTTCTATTTCTAACTGACAGTGGTTTCAATAAAATTTGAATTGGGAATGAACTGTTGCTTAATACTTAACACAACTGTCCAATATTTAAAGTCTTACAAAGAATTACAGTGTATGTGGCACTTTTTTAACCTTTCTGTCACCCGAGAAATTTGTTAGTTTTGTGATTCTGTTTTGTTTCGATTCCTTTGTTTTTTTTCTTTGAGATACAAAGTACAGTGTGTAACATGTACGTGTAAACTTTCTTGATACATGTAATTAAAGAGAGGCTCAGGATTATAACATTTCATAATCAATGTTACTCAAATTCTATCCCATGCATGCTCTTGGGACAACTCTTCACTAATACATGTACACTGTGTCCATATCCATTTTTTGGGGTCTGTGTTGTAGTAAAGATAAAACAAACTTTTCATTTTGTGTAAATACATTTTGCTTCTTCTTAGAAAGTGTCACATTCACGGGAGGGACATAATTTCTGGTACATTTAGTAGGCTACTCTACCTCCGTGCATGTATCCACCTATGTGTGAAACAATACATATCTTTTTAGGGGGAGGGGGGCGGAAGAAATGTTTTGATGGTTAAAATCAAAGCACCAAAAGAAGTTTTTTGCCCATTAGCATTACAGTTGTGTATCATAGTCACCACAATGTATGTGTTCACCCATGTTTTTCATTTACATGTACAATGTATCAGAACAGCTGCCTATACATTCACCTGCCAGCACTAGGAAGGGAGGTAGTTGAAAAATAAAAATTTTCCCAGTGTTTCTTTGATAGCAAGATTGATCACCTATTTTATGTGAAAGATTATTATAAAATGTATGCTGACAGAGAGAAGTATTTAGTGACTTAATTCCTTTTTGTGTGTTTGTAATAATTTTTTGGACTCTATTTTCTCTGTTTTAGTAGATGGATTAGAGAAAGTTGAACGGGATACATAGCATTGTCATTATTTCAACTCTCCTTCCAGGCTGAACCACAACAACCAAATGAAGTTTTTAAACAATGCATTAATTATTGGCTGCACAATAAATTATTAAAGCTCTTCAACAACAATGTATTTTTAGACCACAGCAATGAGGAATCAAGTCTCCATTTCGGAGTCAGAGTTGAGGGTATTGATGAGCTGATGTCAAATACAAAATTCTCAAGAGAGGAGTTGCAAAGAATGTATAGAGGGTTTAAAAATGTAAGTACACAGGCATATGTATTAATTTTTTCTTTCCTCAAAATTATGCCTCAATAGCATATGCTTCTCAGTCTCCGACGAAGTAAAATGAAATCTCTGAATATTGAAATAGCTTAAAAAGTTCAGTTATCTCTAAAAACAGTCAAAGCCAAATAAGTACCACAGCTACCATGTATCACTGTATAGCAACATGGCATTTTATAGATGTGGTCCCTGTGGTTACAATAATATATTGTATGATTAATGTAGTAATAAAAATAAAAATAATAGTTAAAACCCTGAGCTTTATGATGTTAACCTAATCAGCCAGGTAAACATAGTTAAAAAGTGTGATATTGTAAAAATGGAACAGCTACATGTATGTTTAAATATCAAAATAGAATGAATTATTGGAAGTTCGAGACTGTACACTGTACTGTTTTCTTTTGTGATTTCCCAGTGTAAAAAACTATTTTCCTGTTTAACTCCTTGATAATATCACAAATGCTAGACAATAGCAAAGAATTAAATTATTTAAATTTATTTTAAAAAGGTTAATTATTTTACATGCATATATGCACATAAAAATTTTTGAGAGGAAGAAGAATCAAATAATAAAGAAATAATTAATTAATTATTATGTGCTAATGTTCTGAAGAGTTTTGAAATAAAAGGTCTGTATTAATATCATGCTTTATTGTGACAGGAATGCCCTAATGGAACAGTTGATAAAGACACTTTTAAGAAAATTTATGCCCAGTTTTTTCCTTATGGAGGTATGTCTAAACTGAAGGTAAAAATGTCATGAAAAAAAGAAATGAACTGGCATTAAAATGATATTTACCCTTAAGCTATCTATAAATCAGCATGATGCTCAATAAAATATTTACATAAATTAATATAAAAATAGAAAATCATGCACTGAAAAAGGATCTACATGAATGTGTACATACTTTAAAATCAATGAATTAGTGCCAATTTATTAAAATTAAAACAGAGGAAAATAATGTAGGATTACTTGAAAATTGTACTTTTTGTATCCTTTTTAAATTGTTTCTCAGGTATAAACTTTTGAACTCTTTTGAAAAGCATTTGAGTTGAGTTGTTTTGGAGTGTTTTGAACAGCAAACACTAGCATTGTATAGCTGGTCTGGAGTTGCAAATAAGCAGGCACCCTGAGTGACATTTTCCCCATAGTGATGGGACAGCTCATATAACTGTGACTGCTAAGCAATACAACAAGACTAGTGTGTTTGATAATATTCACATCGTGCTGTCTTCCTTCCAGATTCAAGCCTTTATGCAAATCATGTATTTAATGTCTTTGACCAAGACAGAGATGGAAAAGTTTCATTTGAGGTACATGTCAGAATAATATTGCATAAAATATTGGAATTTGTTTGACCTTTGACAACTGTCAATTTTTTACCAGTTGTAGAGGCCATTTGTGAATGCAACTGATTTTAATCTAAAATGTGGTGATTTAGACAGTTGTAGTTGCTGGTAAGCATGTCACAAATAATTATACTCTGTATCATTTGCAAAGCTGTTCTCCAAAAAAGTATCCTTGTGGAATGCACAACAGATCTCCTAAGAATCTCTTTTGGTAGGACCCCTACATACTTACAAATATGTATAAAGGTCTCATTTAAGCATGGTATGGTGCATAGATACAGCTGTTATGGTGGTAATCAGGTGTTTAGTGGTAATTGTATCTAATTAATTAACCCCAGGATTTTGTGACTGGCCTGTCAGTGTCTCTTTACGGCTCTAGAGAAGAAAAAATGAAATGGGCATTCAAGCTGTATGATCTGAATGGTGACGGCTGGATAACAAGAGAGGTACTGTACGTTTACTTCTAAATTTGGTACAATTTGAGTGACTAATAAGTAGGAGGGAGAAGAAAAGAAATTATGTGGCATATTTGTTATTTTTGTTGGTTATCTATAGCCTGTGTAGCAAGCGTTTCCTCGCGAGGTTTGTCTAGAAAACTGGAACAAGAAAAAAGAAAAATGAATGTTTTTTTGCTTCCGCTCTAACTTTCGCGCAATAACTCGATTGGAAACGCTTGCTACGCAGGCTCTGTTATCTAGTGCATCTAGTGCATCATTACCACATGCCTTGGCCCATTTAAAATTACCAGCCCAATTACTCTGTGAATTGTACTCAACTTTACACTGTACCTGAGCTCTTGCATGTGGGGAGTGTTACCCTTAGCTTATGATTACATTATTGGTTGAGGTCCCTTCACCTTTAATATTGGATACTTCAAAGGAGCTGTGTCACAAAATTTATCAATATCCCATCTGTGGGAGATGCAGGTTGCAAAGAAAATCATTTTTACAGCTTTCCATTCGGGCAAGTTGAAGCTAGCATTTACTAGCCCAGACGTCATTCAACTAGCTCCAAAAACATTTTGACTAGCAGAATTGATTTCACAGTTCTTCTGTTATTCAAATTCCTCAAAAAACATCACTTGCCTGTTGGGCAAGTTAAAAACAGAATTCACTTGCCCGATAGCAAAATCCCCTAGCCCCGCGCTATCAGACAGTACTTTCTTTGCACATTGGGGAGATGTCACCAAATTCAGCAAAACAAATTGGTTGGTTATTGGGCTAATTGAATATTTTGATTACATTGTTTTCAGGAGCTGGCTACAGTAGTTCATTCAGTTCACTGTATGATGGGACTTGATTCCATGCCATCAGCTGGTAGTGAAGAGATGAGTATTGAGGAACAAGTTGAGAGGCTATTTGTGGTAAGGAATAGTTATGTGATAACAAAAACGACGGCTTTATAAATTATAGAGGAGCAGCAGCAGTAACAGCAGGGAAAAATTCTGACAGAGTCCACTGGTTTAACTGTTGTATTGCACTTGTGTAAATTAGAAATTACAAAAATCTATATTAATTGACAGACTTTTACAATAATAGTTATACATTTGATTATTTTTATAGAAAATGTGCAATATAAATATTAGATATTATTATACTATTAGCAGAGCTAAGAAGGTTAAAGGAGTTAAAGTACAAACTACAATGCTTGACAAAATGGAAGAAAAAAAGAGAAAGAAAAAGGGAAACGTTATCTTGTCAATCTTTCTGCATTTAGTCTATTTGACTGGAGCTTACACTGTATAATATGCGAAAGGTATCAATTCTAGGAGGTTTACAGTAAGTTTGTTTACTAACGTATTAACCAATTTTTAGCTAATGGACAAGAATCAAGATGGCGTTATTTCAGAAGAGGAGTTCTTGGACGGATGTGAGAGGGTAAGAAATAATGTAAATAGCTTAGTAAATGCATGCATATGTAACAGACTTTGGAAGTGAGGAATAACAATGTGGAGGAAAAAGGGGTATTTTCAAAAGCGTTTTAACAATGTAAAAGTTTGCTATTTGATGTTTAATTACACTAGTATATACTACTACATCTGAAATAACATGTGTTCAATTAAGTGTCTAAAACCTAAACCAACTGAGTAATTAAGGGAAGAGATAATAATGAGAGACATTTTATCAAGAAACAATTTTTCCTTGGGTTTCTCTAGGCTGGATGAGAATCTGTATCATAATTCCTGATTAAGTTACAGCACAGGCAGCCCAGACATGCTGAATACTGTGTATGTCATTTACAATAATTATAAAGATCAACAAAAGAGGACCGGAGTCGACTAAATTCCACTGAATTTTTAAAAATACCCCTTTTTCCTTCAAAATTAAAGTGATAATTCTTAATAACTGTTGTTTTAGAATTTATGTATATCATTGTTTAATTTTCCAGTGAATTTTGCTCTGTTCCTCTTTCAATTTGATGCTCTTATGAGCCTTGTATTAACATACTAAACAGAGCCTAAAATCAAAGTATTACAAAATGAAGCTTACATACCTCTTTAGCTGAATGTCTCCTTGTCAGTCTTGGCCGGTTTAAATGGCATTTTGTTGAGTTTTGCACTTGGAGGTAGCATCCACTGTGTAAGAATTATAAACCTTCGAAAATAATTTTGACTTTCAGTCATTTTGAAATCAATCCTACTTAAGTAAGAAATAAACATAAGAACGTAGATTAACAGGCCGATTTAAGTCGGTTTTTGTTTTCAGAGATCGTAACAAAATACAACTTCTCTTTCAGGATGAATCTATTAAACAAAGTCTGGCAATGTTTGACTCCGTAAGATGAAGAGATAAAGCAACAGAAGAGTTGAAAATGATAAAAGATAATATATAACATGTACCTAATCCATAAATTAAAGTAAGAATTGATTGTGCCATTATATAATATTTATTTGTACATTTTTAGCCTTAGTATTTACGGATAATTATGCCAGTATTTAAAATTATTAGTTCCCTGTTTTAGGGGGTTGTAATGCAGAGAGAAGAACAAAAAAAAGATGAATAAATAAGGACTCAGAGCAAAGAGATTTTGCGGTGCGAAATATATCGAGGTTTTCTCAACGTCAGTCCTCATTTTTTTGTTGCAGTCGGTCACGTGATCATCTCGTGATCAGCTATTTCTAGACAATCAGATGACCAACAAGTAAGGTGTTGAGGAAACATCAGAATATTATGTTTCCAGAGTAGGAAGTTAAACTTTTTTATAAACTATGAAACCGGTCAACATTTTGCACATTGGATAAATATTTCACTCGTCGGTCGCCCATTTTCTTACTATTTATGTTACAAATTGTATAATATTTAAACATGTAAAGCGTTATTTAAAATATTGAAGTATTTATTGTCATATTCTACGGTCATTCTTAAGTGGATAAAAATCTTACACTGACACTTTTTTAGTCACATTTTAAAGGATTTTTAAAAATTTGAACCCTTCATTTGACAAAGTTGAATTGCGGCATCGGTTTTAGTTTTTAAAATAACGTTTATCATTAAAGGAATAATAGAGTAATTGAATATTTAACTGCGACGAGGATTCATCTAAGTCACACATCGTCGCACGAAACACAGTTTGACATTGATATGGAAATCATGCATTGGGCGCGCAACCTACAGTGAGTTATCTGCTAGCAGATATCTAAGTAATCTCTAGGTTGCGCCGATAGTAGTGATAGTAATACTCAAGAAATATGATGTAAATAAAGCAAACAGATTGTATGCCAAAATCAGCAAATGTTTTCTTTTTCTCAAGGAATTGCCAAAGATGCATCAGATAAATGGTATCAATGGCAAACTTTTGTAATCTGTAATCCTTATTTATTGCTTAATGCGTCTATTTTGCAGCATCGTTGCAGCCTCAAAATTGATTGCATTTGATCTGTCCAATAACAAAGGCTTGATATCTGACGTTTTGCATCAGATAGCTAGGCAGTGCAATGCAATAGGCCATTTACAGTTGTGGGCTTAGTAACCTTGCTTCTGAGGGAAAGTGAGGCTGAGGTTGATCTTGTTTTGATACTAACTTCCTTCCTTTTCCAATTTTAATTTTTGCCTTAAAACTTCTAATTAGCATAAGAACAACATGATTTACATAATAAAACAGGAAGGGCTCCATCAAAACAACTCTAGCCTCGTTCCCACCTGTAACTGTAAAATGGGCTATTCACCATTTTTACTTAAACTATAATGCCCCTTTTTTATCCCCCCCGCCCCCCCCCCCAAAAAAAAAAAAAAAAATTGTTAACTGTTGTTTCCAATTTCTCCTGGACATTACAATCCTCCCAGGAGAAATCGAAGACAATGGTTTATGTGAAAAAGGAAAATCGCATTGTACTACCTGTTTAACTGTCTGACGCAAGCGCAAAACACTCGCGAGAAAGAAAAAGAGAAAAAAATTCTCTAGACATGAGTACGTAGGTTCCTTTTGCCTGAGCCGAGTCATGTGATGCCTAATGTATAATTGATGCAAGTTGTTAATGCGATCTTGCTTAAGTAATGGTCCAGATAAGAAGGAGAGAACCAAACGCAATGAACACATCGGAATGCAAAAAAGTCCTGTCTTTACTATTGTCTCTACTACACTTCTGATTCAAGTGGTGTGAACGTCAAATTTTACGAAAACTTCTCAAAGCAGTATGTATATAAATGCTTTGTTTTCTAACGAACTTTCTTATAACAAAATCTATTCTGAGTCTACGTAATACAGAAATCCTATGTGTGGCTATTGTTTTCAACTCTGATGATTGGTTGAAATCTTTTTACACAAACAAAAACCCTTTAAAATGGAGTTTAAATACATTTTTCGACTGTCTTTTGTAGTTTTACACATTCTCTGTGTGAAAATGAAAACATTACTATGCGAGGAAAGCGTATTGCACCATAACAAAATAAATTGCGCTCCTTTTTACCAGGGTCATTACTTAAATCTTATTTTTCTCTTTTACCTTCTTGTCGCGTGTCGCGCTCAAGCCTCATAGCCAGGGCGGATAAAGGTTGGGCGGTGAAACGAGCGCTCCGCTCTTCATTTAATGTGTGATGCGGAGTAGGACTGGCACGAGCGCTCTTTCCGCGCTTCCGGTGCGCTTCAAGGCCGGCGAAATTTTGAGTTTAATTTGAAAGTGTTGAATACCTCCTCCTTCCACTTAATATCACCTAATCGTCTTTCGCCGTTTCGTTTGCAAAAGCTTAACACTTCTTAACCTCAATTTTTACATATGTTAAAGGGGGATAAATCTTATATAACATAACAAAAAATTAGATTGATATATATTGATATAGTGGCGTTGTACTTCTTCAAACTTTGCTTCTCGGGTGCAACGCGCCACGGCGATTCGCGCAATGCGTTGCAAATCCGGCAACCGCATGTAAACAAAATTTATTGAGGTTAGTTGTAAGGTTTTTTCTCTGTTTTTCTCTCTAAAACAAAGCAAGGTAAAACAGAAAAAACTGAGGGGAAACTAATTTTGAAGTTTCGAAGAAACAGAAAGACGTCTGAGATGTTTTTTTCAAAATTAAAAAGAAGGATGATGGTGATTGAAATTAGCATAATTTAGCTATAATTTCACCTTGCACGAGCTGCACGCATTTATAAAATACACGTCATCTAGTTATGAAACACGATCTGCTGTCTTTTAGTTTTGCGATGGATGACATGGATGAGATTTTCCTTCGTGTTTTGGACAGTGCTTAGTTGTTTTTGTTTTGGAATAACATCAACATTGGCGAGTAGCAGAACGAAAATATAATTCAGTCGTAGAGTCATGGAAGTAATAAAAGAAACCCTTTGAAAGAGATGTTTGTCTACTCCAACTAAACCTCCCGCAAAAAAAAGCAACATTTGCCTCTCGGAGACAGCGTACCAGCACAAAGGAACGAGGAAGAAGTGCAAGAGAACAATTCAAGCCGCCATAATTCAGTGACAGCGGCAGTTTCTAATGTACAAACCGCATCATATCGCAAGTTTCGCAAGCCCTGACCGAAGTCGAAAACAAGCGACATTTCTAAGCAGAGTCCCAGTCCACTGCATCACACCTTTTTGCTTGGACGCGCTCGTTTTACCGCCCAACCTTTATCCGCCCTGCTCATAGCCCTCCTTAAGCGCCCCCACTAAGCTACACGCGCGTACGGCGCGGAGTTCCTTTTAATAGCTCCTGTTCAAAGCACACCCGGTAACACCGTATAGCCACATGGCCTCCACCCTCAACAGCGCCACAGTCAAACGACAGAAATTTGCCAATCTTTAGCAAACTGCTTCAAAGTAAAGTTTGTTGCATTAAAGGAGCTGTGTCACGAAATTTATCAAAATTCAAACAGTGCGAATCGCCTCCAAACTGATTGAAAGATTAAAACAGCCGCTCAAAATGTTAAAAGAAGATAAACTAAGGTAAAAACACAGCGAATGCAAAAGGAGTCACAGATGAACAAACTTGAAGAAGATTGAAATGGATTCAATTGTGCTTTTTGAAGACTTGTTAGCCTAGTTTTTAGTTCATTTTTGTTATTTGTAACGTGTAAAATACTGCTTGAGATACATATTTGTTTGACACAAAGTTGTGATTTTGCCATTTCCAAATAATTTCTCAAGTTTCATAGCGAATACGGATCCGTAATTGGCATTATTAACAAACTGTATTGAGCTAAACAACCGTTACACCACCGGCTTTAACAGTTTAAAGTTCAACATAATACCAAAACCAATATGCTGTTTATTTAGTACGTTAAGTTTAATAAAAAAGGTTTTCACTATTTGAAAACTGAAACTGTTACTGTCGACGCCATTTTACTCGGATGGGAAGTACTTTCAAAGAAAAGACGCTCATTAGTTTGAGAAAAATGCAAATATAGCTTTTGTTATCTCGGAAGTAATTCTGTCGTCCAGGACTGGATCGCAGTCCGACAGTATTCGTGCACTCCTATATACGAAAAACCCTTTATAGCAATAAACCGAAATGCATGGTAAAAAAATGGGCAGTCCTATACATCATTTACTTGACAACGTACAAGGCTTGGCTAACTACTTGAAATAAATTTAATGCATGGACAAAGCGATTCGTCAATGTTAAACAATAAAATGATTGATTGATTTATTTAAATAAGGTTTGAATAAAGAATCAAAAAACCTTCAAGACTCTTTAACAATCTACGTGATACGCTCGATCGTCTTGCGCAGCGTCTTGTTTGTTAAACGCAACGAAAAAATGTTAAATTTAAAAAAACCAGCTAATTGAATTGAAGTTTCAAAACAATTTTACCCATTATTTAAAACGAAGTTAACTGCAAAAACGGTGGACGAAGATCCTGCTGGTTGTCAACGTTGGATCTCTAGAAAAGAGATCTAATCGGCTAAAATATTAAGAACTCCATAGACTACTGCAAAGCTGATCATATTAAACAACGTTTATTGCTTTTTCATAACAATATTTCGGCTGGCTATACCAGCCTTCTTTAGGTTTACAGATGTTACTGAATTTATGATAGGAATTACAATATTATATGGATGGAGAATGTTGCAATAAAAATTGTTTAAAAGGGAGAGGCGGAAATGACGTACATCAAAAAAGAGAAGAAAAACTAAAAAGGATATGGATTACAATAATTCGTCACGGCGACTTGGGCCATTAGGTTCAAGAGTCATGGCCTTATTTATGAAAAAGCAATATACGTTGTTATGATCAGCTTTGCAGTAGTTTTTGGACTTTGGACAGCATACGGCGACTTAAATGGGAACTTCTCGAGGGACAACTTGAGTTGAAGGCGACACGTTTTGGCGACGCTTCTGGGTGAAGTCAAATTTACACTGCCCATTTCCCCTAAGCTATTCATTAAACCCGTTTATTTGTCCTCACCAAATGCATCATTAATGGATTTTTTTTGCACTTGGGTTTGTTACAAAGTGGAGTAAGATGTCATAACCAACACGGAGAGTGATTTGATTTTTTTTATTCAGTTTTAATCGGAGTTTCCTGGAAATTGTGGGATATTGGCTTAGACATAACGTGGTTGTGTACTATACAGTAAATACAAGATAAGCAAAATCATTAATAAAACCATAAGATCGTTCCTCGATTTGCATAGAGATTAGTCCTTTTGTGCCAACCTCATATTATAAACACTAGCATCAGCTCGCCGTTGACTTTGTAATTGCTTTTCAAAATTTTGGCTGTCGTATAATTGAACGCCTCGACAAACAGTTTAGGCCCATTCATCCCATTGAGTCCATATGCTGGAAACAAGTGAAATTAAAGTAGTTTTTCAATTTTGGACGGGTTAACAGAACGTGCCTAATTTAAAGTGAATAAGTTATCCATTCGATAATGCCATTTCCATTTCGCGTGACAGCGCAATTACATGCTGTAAAACATACAACGTCAATTTGCTTGTGTCTGATTGGTGCAAAGAGCTTTTCCATATGCACTTGTTCAATCGGATTGATTTTTTGTGGGGCTGTATTTACCTTGAATGACATCGTTCGCTTGAGGTTAATGTTTCTTCTTACTTAATTGAAAGTCTGAAATGCCGTTTCATTGCTTTGAATCGTTTAGAGAAACACTTTTTTTATATTCCTGTCTCAAACAATAACGATCATTTTTGGCGAGGACTTCGATATCGTGA